GCTGCAACTCAGAGGCCTTCCTTCAACCCGACGGAAGGACAGCGACAATTTGGGCTGTCTTTCTTACCGTCGCTGGCAGCAGAAGCTGCCAGGAAATCTAGACAATGTCGGCAAGAGGAGGAAACTTTCTTTGGAAGTGACGAGGATAGCGAAGAATCAGAGGACAAAGAGAAACAGAGTTAGAAATGAAACTTCTCATATCTTTGTATTAACCAGTTCATGCCGGGGTTATTTTGACAGTGACCGGACCCAGACGCGGGATTGTTTTCACGAACCTCGATGCCAGACGGGTTCAGGCCATCATCTGCGGGTAGCACACCCTGATATTTCCGGCCTCGCTTGCTGCGAGGGGGTCGCTGACAGATATTTCCGGCCTTGCTCCCCGCTTGTTTATCTGTCGTCTGTTCCGAATACCGCAAAACCTTTGCATGTATACACGTCATTCGACGCGAACTTGTTAAAACAAATTTTAAGCTTGAATTTCTTCTGTAAGCTGATCTTTGTATTACAGCTGGTTTTTGTCATGTACACACAAGCAACTTGGTGCTAAAAACGTTAAAAAGTTACGGTGTAAAAAGACATCCAAGATTAAACATGTCCTCTTTGGCAGTTGAACAGCAAGGGAATATTTTATCTTGATTCAAAAAAAATACGAAGGTATTTTCTACACTGCGAAGAAAACACTTGCTTGTTTACCTACATTTCCATATCAGCAACCATGCATGCCACGCACACAAAACTCGCTGAAAAGGTCGCCAAAGCCCCACCATCCTGCATGTCCCTTAAAGCTATAGTCCATCATTTGCAGCCATCCGAAAAAGTAACTGGCGTATTATTGTTGAAAAACATACTTGGTTGAAAGATAGTAAGTGGACTAAACTCCCTGTGAAATTAATCTTTCTGGCAAGCTATCATTTTGAAGTAATCAACGAAAGAAGGCCTTTCCAACGGTGCGTCTTAAGAAATTTAAAAATTTAAATTAGTAGTTCTTTTTGTTATTCGGCGCTGCGCAGGCAAGCATTGGCACAACGCACAGGCGTGCGGTTGCTATAATTCGTCGGATCAGTGCGCGACATCGCGTATAGCTGCAATTCAAAACATGATTCCGCAACTTTTGATTTAAAATTGAGATCCTAGAATGCTGTTTTTCTCGGAATATACAGCTGAAGCTGAGCTGAAACTACATCAGGTTAGTTGTTCAGTATCCTTCATTAGATTTTGAACACTTTTGTTGCTTCAAACGAACAAAATGCACAAATTACAAACATGACAAATGATGGACTATATCTTTAAATAGTCCCGTTGCACGAAGACTCTTCCTAGTTTTTTCAGCGACGCATGGAGTGTACCCTTGTGTACCAAAGAACTCCCTCGCTTTTCTCAATTTATAAATTGCTTTTCTTGCCAGCTCTTGAGATGTTTAGCTTAGTAATTTAATTCTAAATTATATGCGTTCTCGACAATTCATTACCAGTGGGTTTCATATGCATGTAGGCTTTGAATTGGAAATTGTAAAAATAGTAACGATCCATACGTTTTCCTTGAGAGGCCAAGTTTACTCTACCCACAATAAGAGATGTTGGTATTTGTTTTATAACACCTCACCCTATAGTTTTTGCTATTTTATGAGACTTCTAAATCCACGCATTTCAAAACTAAGTATGTTCATAATTTGGGAGATAACTGAAATAAAATGCGAAACAAAGTACTTTTTTTTCAATGCTGTCTATTTTTATTGCTATCTTTGTTGTCCAAATATGAGAACAATGCACACGTGTACACGAATACTGAAATTTTGTATTCTTGTGGAGACATTTCTTTGTTTTCGAGTAGTAAAGTTTTCTAGTTTGAAAGTGAAGTTTCAAAATGCTCTCATTTTAACGAGAATTAATTTCCTTGGCTGAAATTCGGACTTAATATCCCTTTTCTAAAACTCTTCCATTTGCGACCGATCAACCCACCTTGGAAATTCCTAGTTTTTGAGTAAAATCCATATATCTATTTCGTGAAAATCTTGTGGAGACGTATTCATCTATCATGTCTATAGAAATTGCCCTTTGGAGACGTATACAATCTTTTGTTCCCTATTATATTGTGTGCATGTCTCAAGAGGGCACGGTGTATCAGATCCGTATAAAGATAGTCACCACAGCCTGTGTGTATTTAGTGCATACATGTACTCACCAGCCTACTTTTCTTTGTGGCTAGCATGGCTAGAAGAGAAAAGTTGGTTTCTTGCAGCTGTGGATTTTAATCTTTTTTTTCAATGTATAATCTACCTTTGTGTCACACTTCACTTTAGTGGAGGTAAAAGTGAGTCCTTTCAAATGAAATACATGCAAAGATGCAAATACTGAAATGTGTAGCTTCTTATAGGTGAGGTATTCTGGCAAAATAAGATGGAACTGGGCACAGGCCGTAGTGGAGAAAAACGCCCCCCCCCCCCCCCAAAAAAAGGGTTGATTTTTTTTCGATTTTCTGATTTATTGATATCTGTTAATGTAATACACATATTTTTACAAATGAAATCTTGAAATAAAAGTGTTTTTTAAGGGAAACAAATGGCATCTTTCATTTTCACATCTACAAAACAGTCCAAAAATTAAACTCCTTTTTCTCAGTATTTTAGCTTTTCGGCATGTCATGTATGAACTTTAAACAATTGAATAGGCGGCTCCTGTTATAGCGAAAATGGTTAGAACGAAATTCCGTTTATTACAAACAAATATCTTCTGTTCCGGCAAAATTGTGCACATGTCTATGGGGAAAATTTCGCTTAAGACGAAAACGGACAGTACAAAATTCCTGTTACAACGAAAGGTTTTGGCGACCTGGTTGCGTAAAAATGCATTGTTAGTGCCCCATTTATAACGAAAGGTAATCCTGGCTCACAGCTTTTTCTTTCAATTTGAAAGCAGTATTCTCTTTCCTAATACTTGCCAACTCATTTTGATATTTGCCCATTTCTGTGTGCTTTTGCTAGAACACCGCCTCACATACATGTATAACAATGACATACTGACAAGTTTAATCTTGTGGAGCAAAGATATCTCTACTATGACAAAAATAGGACGGAATAAAACAATATTGCTCTTAGTGGATAGAATTCAGGTTTTCAAAATATTTGTTGTAACCTTTCAAAATTCTTTAAAAATGGAAGATAATCTGACAACATCATTGAAAGTTATCTACATAAATGGTATAAAGCTCTCAAAACATATTCAAGTTTAATCTTGTGCTAAATTTATTGTTTACATAAGGTACTTCCTCCCCAAAAAGGAAACAAAAATACACAGCCAATTTCTTTTGTACAGATGCTGAAAACTTTTTACAGATCTTCATCAGAAATATCATACAACCCTGATAAATGCCTTAAAAATGGTGTATTTACATAGGAAAAATTATGTACAATGTACAAACAGCTGATTTTCAGATTTCGGATTCAGGCTCAAAAGGGAAATCTTGGAGCTTACAGCTTTGTGTATGAAAACATGCAAAATGTGTCCACAAGCATGATATACATGTACACGTTCATTTATCTTCAAGCAAACTTGAATCCTCGATGCTGACTGGCTGATCCATGGCCAAAAAAACGTGCTACATTATCCCATGTAGCACGGTCTATACCGCATTCCGCATATATCCCCACGCCATTCCTTCTGTATGCACGTGTAATAGGAAAACCGCTGTCTAGCGCACGGGGCATGTTCCATCTCAACTAACTGTGCGTCAAGTTTGTTATCCCACTCGCGCTCGTGGGACATGGAAAATGTAGTGCGTCTGTGTCCTACATACATACCACGAGGCCGAAGGGACACAGACGTACACTACTCAATTCCATGTTCCACTCGCACTTGTGGGACAACTAATAGTATGCAACTGTAAAATCATTACCGGTATAATGCAAATTAGTACAAGTATGCACATATATACATTCAAATAAATTGGCTCCAACCATAGAGCTATATTAAATTACCAGAGTGATGGCTCGATGTACAAAGTGATGCCTGCTAGGCGCATCCACGTTTGTACTCAAACTTATGGAAAACTCAAACTTTTGTACATCTTTTGTCAGCTATTTGCATATCTGCATTTGTATTCTATACAGGTGCTTTATCGAAGCCGATACGCCCAAAACCAAAACGCACGATCAGCAAATGAGCGTTTCATTTTGCTCTACGTAAACAGCGCAACGCGTGCGCGTATCCGCTGCAGATGAGTTTTGCCGTGGCGTTTTTTAACCATCATGACAAGCTTTTAATTGTTTGCGTATGTTCAACTTGCGCGTTGCATTTAGAGTACACTTTCAAAATTCAATCCATCTAATTTCGTTATGTTCCACAAACTCACACATGAATTCAAAATGTCAGAATGCAGGATGGCTTCAAAGTATCTCCAGGCCAAAGAATGAGGAGTTAGCGCTCTAGTAATTTTATATAGCTCTTTGGCTCTAACATACCCAAAAATAAAATAAAACCAAACAGAAAAGGCACACATCAATGAGTTGTTCATGAAAAAAAACAGCACCACAAAACATTTAAATATTTGAATACACTCTGAAGTGCAGTATTTAAAAAAAATAGGCACAGTAAAATGCAAACCGTGGTCAAGCAACTAACTCTTGCAAATTCATTCCATCTGGCAAAATCAAAATCATTTCTCGCTTCTTACTGTGAATATTTCTGAAAAACAGAAAAGTGCTTTTCCAAAGCAAAATACTATGATGGGTCTATGTATTAAAGTTACATTTATAATAATAATTATTAGGGGAGGCTAATCATCCTTACTCGCAGCTGGTATGCTGAATTGCGAAGGGACGGGGCTACAACGTGGTCGGGCCGCTGGCACGTAAAGGCGCCTATGGCTGCCGGCCACATCAACCCCATGAGATCGAAAGTGTTTGATTCATCTGGAGGGAGGAAAACCGAAGGGCCCGGAGAAAAACCCTAGAGGCACAGGAGAGAACCAACACACAACTCTACTCACATGTGATCCGCGGCCAGGATTCGAACCATGGTCACCTTGGTGAGAGGCGAGCGCTTGACGCACATGCCACCCGATTCCATAACTAAAGGACCCATTGAACAGAGCAGGTAAAATATCCCTCTCTACCCGGCAATTTGTGAGAATCGCAGAACAGCTGCCTTGAGCAGCACAAACCTAGTCTGAGATCAGCCTGCACATTGGCTGACTGACCTGTGATGTAGGGGTCAAAAGATCCACATGTCTAACCGCAGGGGTTTGCCTGACATGATGGCACACTTGAATAAGCCCATCAGTGTACAGTTGACCTCAGGTCAACCTGCGATTTGCTTGCACAGAGACGGAACCGCTGGCATCAAGCACAAAATCATGCTCGGGTCAGAACAATGAGAAATTGAGTGATTTTCGAGGAACAGGCGGCATCTCAATTGCATGACGCCCACGAAGTGATGACAATTTCTGCGGCTTAGGCGTGATCAAGTGACTTTTTCAAAATGGCGGTGCGTGTGTTGATAACAATAAAACGATCTTCCATCACCAAGTGTGCTCTTTTGCCTGCCATAATTATTATAATGCTATGCTTTGCGCACGACATTGTAACTTCACACAGGTCGACTGGGATTGATTCCCACCTGTTGTGCGCATGCCTCATTGTTGCAGTTACACTCAGGTCGCCAAAAATGGGCAACTGATGTTCCCGACGGTCGTAGCTCAGGCGCAGCTTGATCCTGAAATGTCAGTCAACTACTGTTCTGTTTTGCCACAACGTCGACCCGCGGGCGGCGTAAGCGGAAGACAGCATCATCATGACGCAAAGCAAACAATAAGATTTCAGGATAACTAGGACGTTGCCTGTCCTCGTATACTCTCCAGTGTATTTCACAAAGCCTCCTTCAACTGCAAATGCATCATCGGAAAAGTTTGAGATCCATTTGGAGACATCAAACGGTATACATTTTGCACTTGGTGCCAAGGATTAAGTAGTTACCTTTTGTGTTCGTTGCACGCAATCAAGTTGAAATTCTTTTGTAAACATCACTTTTTTTGGAGAGGTTTCCGAATAAATCCCGCATTTAAACAATGAAAATACAGGCAGGAAGTCGACCAAATAGTTGTACATGTATTAAAGTGGCCTCTTTGAGGCAAATGCTGGATGATGCAAACTGTATTGACCTATCGCAGTAGAATCGCGTCAACGCAGCTTGCGAAATATTGTCCAATTACATGATATACAAGGAACGCAGAACGCCCACAATCTGAGACAAACAAAATTTAGTGTACAGAAGCTCCATCGGGTTGTCTAAGGCGCGTGGCTAACTCGCAAACGGCGATAGGTCAATTGTCAATCCCTTTTACTCGCCGTGCCCCGCCAAGTCCATAGCTCTTCATCCAAACCAGCCTTGCTGTCGCATCAATTCCTGAAATGCTGCATGGTTCAAGAGTTCAAGTTCTTCATAGTCTCATCTGTGTGACATCTTTAAGGGTGAGCAGCCGTTTACATGGCTCACATTTTATCTCTCTCCTCAGGAAGCTACTTGCATACTGCCGTTGAATGAGAGATTCAGGGACATGTAGTCAGCTGCTGAGCTTTCTGCATGCCTGAAGCACAAAACAAAAATATGCATAAGAAATGCTGTGAATACATGCATATTTTCTGTGATCAATGGCAGCACGTGTCAACTGACATGCAGTTGGGTGAGTTGGCATCAGTGGACATTATTCACGAGTCGGTCATATTGAATTGAAAGTGATGAAAAATCTTAATTTTTGGAACTTGCGAAAAGAAATGAAAGCAAGTAAATTTCTAATTAATTCCAGTCTACTTCGATGAATAATTTTAAATTTGTAATTCTCTAATGTTTAAAGCCAGATTAAAAAAAAACCCAGTAAATTAAGGCTGCATTGTGCCTGCATAAATAGTCTGGCGCCACCCTATAGCACTGTATCAAACAGTTATATAAACACTTAATGAAATATGTTCAGGGAACGCGACAAAAATGGCCAAATCATGAATAAGGCCAATAGTCCATGTGCGGCCCCAAACTGCCCTGCCTATTACTCCGGTTTGATTGACTCATCGGGGTATAACTACAATGCGATAAGTGGAATAATATGGGCTCTACACAGGAACAGTTAATGGCCAAGTGCAACACTCACAGGACCTCCAGTGTCATTCACATGTGGCCTAAATTTTGAGTTTACATAGGTTTGTGCACAAACAGAATGTGCCCAGTCCAAACAGCAAGAGCTTTAAGAATTTAGCAACGTTGTAGTGGAGGTACTTGTGATGAATCACAGGTCATCAAAAGTCATCCAGTCCAGAGTCAACTCACAAGCTCTTCAAATGAACTGTGATAAAAACATTCCTTTATTATTGTTCATCCCCTGTTACGTGTGACTGGACAGGTGAACTGACTTTCAGAGTTGTAACGAGTCACTGATTTTTGTGACTCAAGTCGAGTCGAGTCGAGTCAATTTAAAGAAGTGACTTGAGTCAAGTCGAGTCATTTTAAAAAAGTGACTTGAGTCGAGTCGCGTCATTAGGTCAAAAGGTCGAGTCGAGTCGAGTCGAGTCAAATATTTAGCTCGAGTCAATTCGAGTCACGAATATTTGAACACAATATACCAAAATTTATATAAGGAGGCCATAAGTTTAGCCAGCCTTCGAATCCAAGAGATTTATAAGAAATCGCCCAAAGCCAATGATGAAACAGCGATTTAGAAAATGTGTTTAAAAATCTGGTTCCTGGATAGTATTTTGTGCGTTCTAGAACCATGAGGTGGGAGTCTGTGACACGTTGTATATTTGTACAAGACTGCTATTCGCAAAGCGAAGTGAGCATACATTTTGCACCGTAAGTCATTGCAAATACTTTTCGCAAAGTTGTGCCTTTATTTTTGGGACTCGAGTCTTATTAGCCTTCGCTCGAGTCGAGTCAAGTCTTCTGATGAGGGACTCAAGTCGAGTCGAGTCATTTGCTCGCAGTGACTCGAGTCGAGTCGAGTCATTTACCCTTAGGGACTCGAGTCGAATTGAGTCACCAAAAATTGTGACTCGAGTCGGACTCGAGTCGAGTCGGACTCGAGTCGAGTCATTGACTCGAGTCATTACAACTCTGCTGACTTGTGATTGAACTTTCACTTGTGACTGAACTGGTGATGTGCCCTGGTGATGGACTACGACACTGCCATGTACTACAGCTCTATGATCAAAGACACTCACCTGGATGTCGTGCCCGGCCTGAGTAGCGTGATCTGCTCCAGGCTGGTCACAGTGCTGGATGACCTGCTCTGGTCCAGACTGGACGTGGACAATCTCTGCTGGCTGGCCTGGCCGGAGTGAAGCCGGGGGAAGCCAGAGAACCGGCGTTCCCTGGCCCCGCCGATCTCACCTCCCCAGGCTGAGCGGGGGCCCCGACGGCCATAGGTGGGGCTGTGAGAGGACACAAATCAATAACATTAGTCCAGGTACTGCACTAAACCATCCTGCCTGCTACTTTCTGTACTGCCCCAAACCGCCCTGCCTTTAACTCCCCGTACTGCCCAAAACCGTTCTGCCCATTCATTGGTCCCTGTACTGCCCATAACAGCCCTACCTGTTACTCCCTGTACAGCCCCAAACCACCCTTCATCCTAAACCACACTGCATGTTACTCCCCGTACCGCCCCAAACCCTCCTGCCTGTTACTCCCTGTAATGCCCCAAACCGTTCTACCTGTTATCACCTAGAACAACCCCTGCCTGCTACTTTCTCTGTACTGCCCCAAACCGCCCTGCCTTTAATCCCCTGTACCGCCCCAAACTGTTCTGCCTGTTGGTGCCTGTGCTGCCCATAACAACCCTGCCTGTTACTCAATGTACAGCCCTTAACCACCCTGCTTGTTACTCCCTGTACCACCCCAAACCACCCTGCCTGTTACTCCTTGCACTGCCCCAAACTGTCCTGCCTGTTATCACCTATAACAACCCTAACCGTCCTACCGGTTTATCCCTGTACCACCCCAAACCGCCCTACCTGTTAATCCCCGTACCGCCCCAAACTGTCCTGCCTGTTAATTACCACCTATAACACCCCCAACCATCCTACCGGTTTCTCCCTGTATCACCCCAAACCGCCCTGCCTGTTACTCTCTGTACTGCCCCAAACTGTCCTGCCTGTTAATTACCACCTATAACACCCCCAACCATCCTACCGGTTTCTCCCTGTATCACCCCAAACCGCCCTGCCTGTTACTCTCTGTACTGCCCCAAACTGTCCTGCCTGTTAATTACCACCTATAACACCCCCAACCATCCTACCGGTTTCTCCCTGTATCACCCCAAACCGCCCTGCCTGTTACTCTCTGTACTGCCCCAAACTGTCCTGCCTGTTAATTACCACCTGTAACACCCCCAACCGTCCTACCGGTTTCTCCCTGTATCACCCCAAACCACCCTACCTGTTAATCCCCATACCGCCCCAAACTGTCCTGCCTGTTGATTACCACCTATAACGCCCCCAACCGTCCTACCGGTTTCTTCCTGTATCACCCCAAACCGCCCTGCCTGTTACTCTCTGTACTGCCCCAAATCATCCTGCCTGTTACTCCCTGTATCGCCCTAGATTGCCCTGCCAGTAACCGAACCTACCCTGGCCACCCTGATGTACCACCCCAAACCGCCCTGCCTGTTACTCTCTGCACTGCCCCAAATCGCCCTGCCTGTTACTCCCTGTACCACCCTAGATCGTCCTGCCGGTAACACCCTGTACTAACCAAACCTTCCAAAGCACAGTATGGTTTTATGAATTGATCAAGGGAATGAATACAATCTAGTACAATGTAGTACAGGTTATCACTATATGTAGGTTAACAGCAAAGGGTATGGGTTTTTACATTGTACATGCAATTCTCAGCAATTATCTACATTCATACTTGTCTGGATAGACTTGTACTTGTGAAGGAGCTGATTTTCCTGTACAATTTTCTTGTAACAGTTTCTTGTAATAGTTTCTTTTAAACAGTTTATTGTAATAGTTTCTTGTAACAGTTTCTTGTAACAGTTTCTTGTAACAGTTTCTAGTAACAGTTTCTTGTAATAGTTTCTTGTAAAAGTTTCTTGTAATAGTTTCTTGTAACAGTTTCTTGTACTAGTTTTTTTGTAACAGTTTCTTGTAATAGTTTCTTGTAATTGTTTCTTGTAAAAATTTCTTGTAACTGTTTCTCGTAATAGTTTCTTGTAACTGTTTCTCGTAATAGTTTCTTGTAACTGTTTCTTGTAACATTTTTTTGTAACTGTTTCTTGTAATAGTTTCGTCTAACTGTTTGGTGTAACAGTTTTTTGTAACAATTTCTTGTAACAATTCCTTGAAAAATTTCCTGTACCCTCTATCGGAAGTTTTCAAGTCTGTGTTAGTGAAGTAATGGCTAGGGTTTTGGGTATTATTATTACTCTTTTGTCACTCCAACAATAAAAACTTGAGGAAGGTGTACGCTGGTCTGGCCTTAACTTACCTGAAGTGGAAGTCAGGGGGCAGTATTCGGCCCAACGTGGCATCCCGTTTGGATTTCAACATCTGCTTCTGGAAGTCCTTCCTGGCGTTGCCGTAGCCGTTGAAGATGTGATCACAGAACAGGAGCCTGGAGTTGGCGTAGATCTGTGGAATCAGGGATTGAGAATGATTTCAATTTAATTATAAACAATTAGTATAACACATAATGTATGTTTGTAAGTGCAATGGTGAGAATATTTTCGTAAGTTGAAAGATGGAATGTGCGAAGCCAAGTTGAATGGAACATTCTATCTTTCAATGAATAAAACTATCCTCTCCATTGCACAAACACAAGACTATAACATTATTTGTTTGATATAACATCCAAGTCCAAAGATCTACTAGCTTTGTCATTCGATTGGAGGATAAAACTATAACAATAAACAAAATTGACAAAATTGCATTCTGGCTCATCCACTATAGATGTTTTTCCAGCTTGTTCAAAACTAGCAAAGGTTTAAATGTCACAAAATTAACAATATGAAAGTTACTACTTGTAAGTTCCTAAAACAATGCAACGGAATCTGCAAGGCAAATTCAGTTCGTAACTGCATTTGCTTCACAGGCAAGTTTTGTATTGCTGTATAAATTGCATGATGTTGCAAAGATCGTATGTGCGGCACTATTCAATCTTTGGTCTGTGAGGCCTGCGTGTGCAATAGATCAAAAGGGATGGAACGAACATGCATGGTGAATGGAACCAAAAATGCACGGTTATGACGTAAGCCGTGTAATAGTTTAATTAATGAATGCCGTGTGACCTTCAATCCTCCAATCAAATGACAAGGATTTTAATTTGGGTGTTATATAATAATAATAATCGGCATTTAAGAATGCTCTTATTAGTAAACTGAATCACAGCGTTTACAGTATTATTACCCCTGATCATTGGGCCAATTAAACATTCCAAATACCATCTCAGCTCCCTGGGGAGTATATAGCTCGATGCTGCCTGTTAGGTGCAAGCAATGCTTATTTAGTCACAATAACCATCTCTGCCCTCACAGGTACCTATTTACTCCTGGGTGGAGAGAAGCAATGAGTGACAAAGTGCCTTGCTCAAGGAGGAGTCTATCCTAGGCCTGCACCCAATGCAATGAATTCCGTTCTCAAAGTGTTAAACCAGAATGTTCGTATGGCTTACTAGAAACATCCCCGGAACGGCATTGTGTCGGGTGAAGAGTTCTGGTATGTCATTACTGGTGTGCTGAGCTGCGACTGCCACGTCGTACAAGAACAGCCGGTAAGGATCATTGCGACTCTGAAACAGTGAAACAAGCAAACATGAATACAGCAAAATTTATGATGAATCAGGTACACTTTTGTTGACAGCTTTGATGTGGGATATGACATTTTGAACACCCGAGGGACGCATAGCACCCTAGGTGAATCCTGACCACAAACTGTGCTGGTGGTGAACTGAACATTTTGTCTTTGCCTTGTGCAAATTTGAGAGAATTCTGTGTGCCAAAGTGTGAGTGAAGTTGGCTTGAATTTGGTTTACATTTTTATGCATTTGGGTTTCAGTCCGGATCAAAGGTTGAAATCTGATCCACTCAATTTCTCTCTTCAACCTCATAATTATGTGAGGATTCTGGCAAAATGAGACAGAACTGGGCAGCGGTCAAAATGAGGGTTTGCAGGTATTAGGAAAGAGATTAAAATTCTCCTTATGATAGGGTCTGTTACACTTCAATCAGACATTCCATTGACTAATTATGGCTGTTTAAAGTTTGTATTAATCAACATGTCAAAAAAGTAAAATGCTGAGAAAAAGGCCCTTAAAATTTCAAGTTTTGCATTCGTAAAAACGAAAGATGCAAACTGTTTTCCATAAAAAAAATGTATTCCACAATTGTTATACTGTTTCTTAAAAATATGTATAGCAGACATATCAAAGATTCCAACTATCAATAAATCTGAAAATTGAAAAAAAAATTCAATCCATTCGGTTTTTTGCATTTTTCTTGACAACGGCCGGCTTGTGCCCAGTTCCATCTCATTTTGTAAGAATGCCTGACATACTCTTCAAAATGTTGACAATATGTGATTTTTGTTGTCAAACCCCAAGTTGGAGGTGGACTGTGAATTGGGGTGCATTTTCTTGTCACCTCGATTGATAAGTTTGAACGAATATGGGGAAGCTAATTTACATAATAATTGTTTAAGAAAAAACACTCAAGGGTGCCAAGGAGGTACCTGTCGGAATATTGATCTACAAGGTCCAAATTCACTAATTCACGCTTCCGTGGTCAACCCCCGGACTATAGGCATACCGACCTGATAACACGGCTTGGTTCTGTTCCTGTTCTGCCGCTCGTACAACTCCAGCAGCATGTCGGCGCAGGGCAGGCCATCCAGCAGCAGTGAGGACGTCATGCAGACCACGACCAGCTGGGAGCGGGGCACCTCGGTAGCGAGGAACCGCTCCAGCTCCAGGTCGTTCAGGCTCGGAATGCGGTGCCGGCTGCAGCGACACGTGGCCATGGTGTCGCCCAGCATCTCAGCACGGAAGGCACTGTGATTTGTCAGTTAAGGACAATAGGTGAATCATATGAAAAATTCTAATCCTTTCGTTAGGCTATGTGCACACGCACCCCCTAACGGGTTAAGACGCATCGTTGGTAATTTCCGTTAGTAGTTCGTTTTTAATTTGGCGAAGCGCATGCAAGCATTGACACGATGCACATGGGCGCGCGGGTGCTATAATTCATTGGTTCAGTGCGCGACATCGCGTAGCTGCAATCGGCTGAATGAGAACGTGTCTCGGACGCTGAATTGAGGCCCAATTCAAAATAATAAATAAATATGTTTGATTTGAAATCGAGATCATAGAATAGTGTTTTCTCGGAATATACAACATCCACTGAGCTAAAAACTTCATCAGGTTTAATAGTTGTTCAGCACCCTTCTTTTGTTGCTTCAAATAAACATTATGCATAAATTACGAATGATGGAAGGTGCCTTTAACCATCATTAAAAGTTCATGTGTACACACTATTGTTAATTCTAATTTTGGTTGATGGCTGTGCCACAGGGTCTGCTTGAAAAAAATGGAACTAGGTCTGCTTGAAAAAAAAACAGAACAGCTGCTCGAAAAAACCGGAAATTTATTTTTGGTGAAAAAGCCACTCCAACACAAAGTCCCTGTTCATCTTTATCTTGTAGCCAAGCCCAGTTCCATTTAGTTTTTATATTTGCTTCTATGGCCTTTAAGCTGTCAGTTCCCGCAATCACCTTGACTTTTTCCATATTCCTATTATTTATTCTGCCTACCCGAATTTCCAGCGTAATATTCGACACGGAACATGCACGATTTCACGACACTGTCGGTGTGTACATGACCTTTGCACTACGCGATGCACGCGACGAAAACATAGTTGGTACCCAGCATTACCCAACAAAGACTTGTTTTTAGGACGACTTCAATGAACAACATTGCGCCGTGCGTGCGCCTGAATGTACTAAACTCCAGATCGAGCGCTAACAAGGTAAAAATAAATGCATTTCCACAGGTTCTCTTCTCTTTTTCCAGTTTTTTTTTACGGCCGGAAAAACCAGAATTGTGTGAGATTTAAAAAACAAAATGGAATTCCGGCTGAAATTGGAAAAGTGACATCTCTGTATATCAAGGATACATTGGGCAGCCGGTAAGCGGAGATGGTTTCTTCCTGTCCGCGCTGACCGTTGACATGGCAACCCTGCTGGCTGGACTACGAGATCGATCGCCCCCGCCAGCCACATGCCTGCAAAGATAACATAATTCGAATGACTCCCTTGAAACTTTCACTCTCGGAAAATATATTGAACAGTTATCGTGATCATGAATAGAAGTTGAGCTCCATAATATGGATTTCATCACTTGAGCTCTACATGTACTTCTGAGGCATCAGAAGATACAGCATGTGATATCTGACCTGGTTGACCGTTATGTTTTTTTTGCATTTCGCTGTAAAGCAGTTTCAGCCTGTAGTACAATAAATATATGGCGCATTTTCTTATGGGACATAATGAAGTGTTTACAGGATGTTTTCATTGGGCGAGCCAATATATTGGCACAAAATGGCGTCCGCTGAATGTCATAGCTACTTGTTACATGTATACTTTCGTCTTATTCAGGCAAATAAATCCATATTCAAAAGAGTTATAGGCAATGTACAACATTTGCAAACATCAAAAGAAAAAGACCCACAAATTATGAAATAATACTCAATACCTGGTGAACGTGCTGTCAGTGGAATTTTTGTATGTATTTCAAAAACTGACTATTTTTCAAATACTGCTGCCAATTTACCAAATTTAGTTACATTTTGTTTGAACTTGGTTACACATCCGTGAACAGATGCAAGCCAGCTAGTATGGTTCCCTGACCTGACAATCCCCGATGTCTATAAATTGCTCCGTTTCGAATGTACTAGTAGGGTCAGTGAACCAGACTACAAGACAAGCATTTTGTTCTTGGTTTTCTCCAGCATTTAGGAATACATAACTTTAAACAGATCAGTGTAACAATATTTGCTGTTAAATACTAACCCCAAAATCCATCCCTTTCTGAAAACTACAGCAAAAGCAAATGTTGTATAATTACCTTCAAAGAAACTGATGTTTGAGCAAACCTGCCTTCCTATTCTAACCCCAGACAGCTTAGTACGACCTTAAAAATGCCTTGTAACATTATCATCACTGGATTTGTTTGAAGATCAACAATTCCTCACCCGCTGATAGTTGAGAATTTTGTGGGCGTGCCTGGCTTTGACCCGCCCCCGTGATCCTCCGCGTTCATGCGCACGCGCTCTCGCCTCTCCGTGGCCCGCGTGCTCGTCGAGCGACTGCTCCTGCTCATGGACAGCGACGACACGGTACTGAAGGGTCGCTTCTTGTGGGACGTGATGGCCGGCGCGGAGGGCACCCTGGCTTTGGCTGCCGGGGTCTTGCCCGCGGGTAGCCCTTCTAGACCGTCCTCCTCCAGGGGTTGCGTGGGGGCAGCCTTGGCCGACTGGACGCCCCGCTTCCGCCGCTTGGATAGGGCCGCGGAGCTGATGAATTGCATTCCGACGGCGATGCGGTAGTGGTCCATCCAATCCTCGCAGGCAACCCTAAGACATAGATATGTACAGCTTGTTAAACATGATACATTGTCAATTTTCACTTTCTTTTCTGTCGACTTAATTGATCATTTACACTTTGATTTGCTCAACATATGCATGTATGTGGGTCATTCTATAAATTTTGGGTCTACTTTTTTCCTGTCCCTGTTAGGTCTGACATCTACGATTTTTAATTCTTGACATGCTGCATGCAATCCTTTATGCCGTCATCCTGTAAGATTAATTTTGAACAGCAAACTGAGCAACGAATCATATCAAAAAGTTATTCGTAATGATACTTGAACGGCAAATTAGAAAAGTCCAGACATTTGCAAGAGGTAACAGGGACAGGAAAAAATGTCACACTTTGGATTACGGCTGTCCCGAATATACCGAATATTCAAATATTCTGTCATCCTCCAACTATTTGAATAACTTTTTTTACAGGTTCAAATATTCAAAGAAAAAAACTACCACCCGCATACACACATGACTGTGTTGTAATTTTAAAGTAAAAAACTTTACAAGTTACATCGCTTTATTGTCAAAAGTCACTTTTTTGTCAACCGTAAGCTTTCATTTCATCGGCACGGCACACAGTTAACTTAATCGGTGAATTTTGAATATTTGAATATTCAAAATTGTATTTAAATTTATAGAATGGCCCATGTGTGATTTGTCTGTGTTTAATTCAAGATTTACAGCAGACAAATTCAGCCAACAAATCCAGCTACGCCATCATAACAGTCAAATTCAATAAGCCTTTTCGGAGTTCCAACTGCGCGCATTCATAACCTGTGACAACGCACATTGTTTGTCTCAAATGCCCTTTGACAGTATCCACAATGCACAAACAGCCTTTTTGTAAAGTCAGTGGCGCGATGATGTCAAAGGCCATTTGAGACAAACAATGCGCGTTGTCACAGGTTACGAATGCGCAGTTGGAACTCCGAAAAGGCTTATTAAGAAGCTGTTTTTAACAGTAAGAATATTCTCCTGCTAATTTGCTTTGACTAGAGGTGATTGATATGCCAGCTGTACCTACCAGTTACCTCTTTGTCTGTTGATGGAATTTGACTAGTCAGAGTGTAATACACGAATGTGATCCAACTGTTTTTTACTAGTCTGTATACAAATGCATGGCAGGGGAAGTGGAAGAAATTTTGTGATTGTTTGTGACTGATCAAACAATAAGAGGGTTTGTATTAATACCTGGTTTTCCTGGCCAGTACAGTCAGCTCCTTCTCGGCCGGTATCCCGTACTCCGTTCTCTCCTCAATCACCAGGCTCTTGGCAATCTCAGCCACCTGTTCCTTGAAGGCGTTGAGCCTGGCCGTCTTGGGGTTCACGTTGGGCGTGCCTTTGGCCTTCCAGCGCTGGGGCTCCCGCTTGGTGGGTTTCTTGACGACGGGAGGGGGCCTGATGCTCTCCTTGGCGGCGTTGGACTGGAAGTTCTCTTCAGTCTCTAGATAACCCTGCAAAAATGTGTGACAGAAAGAAAAATAGTTGTAACTGGATTCTACCAAAATTTGTCCTCGGGTCATTTTGTTGTTTCACTCTGCAGTAGTGTAGTGCAAACCTGACCCAAATCCAAAACCGACCCCAACTGAAACCGACTTCGGGTCGGGTTGGGTCGGTTTTTTGTCCATCATTTCAGTCGGGTCGGGTCGGTTTCGGATTTGTGTTTGTAATTTTCGGGTCAGGTCGGGTGGGGTTGGTTAAGCCATTTTGGAGAAACCTGAAATAAACCAAAGTAAACCGAAAAAAAAAGAAACAGCTGGGAAATTGACAAGGAGCAATATTTATTGCAGAGTCTTGTCCCCAGTACGACCAATCATGCACAGTCATAACATGTAGGCCCACCAGTAGGTCACATTGTGATACCGTAAGGTATGGTTCAGTTACTGAGAGACGGACAATTTTCACACAATGTGGGTAGGTTCTCAGGCACAGAAAGTGGACAAAGTTGCCCAAGCCAGATATTCATTTTTGTTCTGAGTTGGTTAAGTTTCGGGTCAGGTTTCCCTGAATTTTTGTTGGGTGGGGTCGGTTGTAGGGGGTTGTGACCGGTTTCGGTTCGGATTCATTTTACATCAATAATTTTTGGCCTGGTCAACCCTACCCGATACACAACATTACTCCGCAGTAGTTTTTCATACGTAAGTAGAAAGAGCATAATCTGCCCTTTATTTGGACATGTCACTCTTTTGGACACCTTGATATATGGAGATATTGTGCAGTTAAAAAAGAAGACCCTTTCTTAATGACAGTCTCGTTTTTTTAACAATAATAAGCTCTTTTTGCCTTCAACGAATAATAATAATAATAATAAAACAGCCCCACCTAAGATCATTCTTGAAAATGGTTAACGAATTCTCAGTGGGGAAACATAGACCTCAAGCAGTTATGCCAGGTACCTTGAAAATAAATCTCACGTCAACAATCTGTCTTGGATGATTTCTTATTAGATATATTCAAAAGAGATCACAGGTTTTGGCAACATAATTTGAATCTCTCCCATAAACTATTTTAAAGACCTCATTTAAAAGCCATAACCAATGTCCGTCCCTGTAAAATTGTGGCACCTGGTGTGCTGACATTTTCAAGAAAATGTTTCTTTTCCAACGCTGGTCAGCTGATCAGCCTTGGAGAAAACTGGCTTTTTTTCAAAAACTGCTACTAATTTTAATCATATTTAGTTGGTCCGCATTTTCTTTGCAATTGATTACACACCTGTGAAGGGGTACCAGCTTGCTAGACTGATTCTCTGACCTTACAATTCCCCAAAGTCTATAAATTGCTCTGCTTGATCTTAGGTGGGATCATGGAACCAGACTACAAAACCATGAATGGTTTTCTTGGTTTTTCCAGCATGTACAAGCCCAAAACGTGAAACAAGTCAGTTTAACAATATCTGCCATAACATACTCAGCCTCCAAATCCATTTATTTCTCAAAATTGCAGCAAAAGCAAATATTGTGCATTCACTTTAAACTCACAAAGTCTTCCTGGGTGACAGGGTCCACCGCCATCAGCACCTGGCCCACCTGAATCTTGGTGGTCTCCTTGTGGCAGAGGAACGTCAGGGTCATCTGGGTCCGGTTGTAGCAGCGGAAGCTGATGTTGTGGTTGAGGTGGAAGAAGACCGGCGTGGCCATGCGCAGGTGGGGCAGGGGCCACGCCCACTTGCGGACAACCACGCCCTCCGCGTCCATAAGCATGCCCATTTTCTCGGTGCTGAGAAATCTGTTGGGAGCAAGATTTGGAAATAAAAATCTTTTAATACAAGTCCAAAGCTGTACGTGTGTTTTTTAACGTGAATCAACGGCTTGGAAAAGATGGAGCCAATTCAATGTGAACATTATATTTTTTTATTCTGCTACCAAAAATATTGATAGACTGCTGTACCGGCTGCTTAATTAGATTGGAACAGTATGGGCAACTCCCAGCATGCTCAGTTGTCAGTGGTAGTCTTGGTGCAAGGTGTTCTTAGCGGGGTAGTTAACGATAGCCAGTAACAGTACATCCTTTGTACCGTGCTGAGCAGCATCAATGTTCCCACTCATGAACCTGACTCGGTAGACGAACCACACGCAAAGAATGTCTTGGGAATTTTGCACTGCAACAGGATGCGACTTGATATGCAATATAGCAGCACATGCGCATTGGTGGAAAAAAAACAGCTGTTCCAAAAACTGTTAGTCTGGTGACGAACCATACATGTGCAATTGCGACAGACTGGGCGCTAACCGGTTGACCGTACAATCGATCGAATCATGGTCCAAATCGATGAAGGGCCCTGATTTCTAGCCTTTCAAGGCCCAGTTCTTTGCTGCCAAATTACTGCTTTGTCCATGTGGACAACATTTTTATTTCTATCCAACGACGCTTACCAGCTCACTTGCAAGCTGCAGTACATACAGAAACCAAACAAGCTCACACGTACATCACGCACGCATGCAAAACACACTTCTGGTCAGAATTTCCTTAGCAGGAATACGAAATTCCCCAGACGTCCTTTGCGGCCTGTTGGCCCGTGTGTTAAGGGTACATGCTTCGGTGAATCGCTGCACAGTCAAATAACCGATATATGCCGAAACATCGCACCGCTAAGGATGTTTTGGAACCAATGCTAGCTCGGTGGCCGAGCAGAATCTGCACTAGCAGGAGGTCGTGGGTTCGACTCCACCTGAGTAAGCTTGGGAATTGTTTTCTTGCAAACCGTCAGACAGCACAACCAAAAAACAAACAAACAAACAAACACAACATACTTCATCACAGGAAAATAGTGAAAGATGGGGCCATCAAGTAGGGCCATAAACTCACCTGACCATTCCGTTGGGGTGATAGCAACTCCCTCTCCCCGTGGGTGTAAACTCGGCCAGCATGTCGTGGCTGGCGTTGTCGTTGTATGCAATGGTGTAGTAGCCTGGCCTGCCAAAACCGGCCTTGCTCAGGATGATGGCCAGCTTACCTGAGGGGTAGCTGTGATTACATGCTCAGTCAAGGATGAACAATTACTCCATATCCACCGCCGCAAATGCCCAAACACTCCAGGGCATTATTTTTCAATTAGAGATAAAATGCAAACATGCAGGTGCTAATGGGTAAATACATTATACATTCATAAATACCTAAGACAGTTTATCCATTCCCATTGGTCAAGAGCCCGTCACGTGGCCGGTCTTAAACAGATGATAAAGACATGGCTGGCTGGTCTTAAACACTTTTCCAATGTCACATGAAATTCCGACTCCAATGAAATTCAGTGCCTTTTACCATTTTATTGGTTGAACGTTAGGCATGCGCAATACTACCACTGAGTCAACTTCTAGTCCTAAATTCACAACGCGGGACACTCCATTATAAAGCTAGAGGCGTGTTTCGAAAAAACAGAAAGTAAACAAAATCATCGGAAGTGTTTAATTTTTGACATGTTTTGACTTTTTGACCGTAATTTTTTTACCGCCAAGGTATTTATGAATGGGAATAAATATGGCTTCGCCTCAGGTAATTATCAGCATTCCAGACTCCAACCAGTTTAAATTAGTGTTTAACACCCCCAAAGCACACATTAATTCCCATTCCCTTATTATACAACGCTGTGATCACATGTCATTGAATTATTCATCCCAATGCACGCCATGGCTGCACGGCAAAAAAGTTCCACTCTACGATAAATGGAAGTTCCATTGCACAGTCACACTTTTAGCAGCCCTGACCAATCAGATGACGAGGATTTATCCAGGTGTTGTTTAAAACAAATAATGGATGCTTCACATTCGTGCAATGGAAAAAATAGTTTCATTCGGTGACAGATGGTACATATTCCATCTGTCACCTTATGAAATTATTCTTACCACTGCACTCATAAACATTCGTTTTTTGTATCATATCCATATGAAAACTACGTGAGAAAATAAAAGAAAATAATCCCCTGATGAATTGGAAGAAAGTCTCCTTTATATAATCCACAGAATATAGATTTTAAACCTGATCTAAAAACTGAGGGCACGTAATTTTTTTATAGCCTCCACTTGATTTATTGCAGTTGACCTATTTTTTTTTGGGGGGGGGGGTTTGGAAATATGGTTTACAAACTGATAACTTCTTCACAGGAAGATTCTGGCCAAGTTAGTTATTCAGAATCCTGCAATCAATGGACAATCACATGTTTCTCGAAAACACCGAGTAATGAGCCGAATCCTTTTGCAAATGCAATCCGCTCACTCTAATTAATGTTGACAAGGATACAAGACATTCATGGTTCCGTCCGGCAGTCCCGTGATCACCTTGTGCTGGGGAACATTCCCCAGGTTCAGCGCAGCCGGGGGTAGCCTGGGCGTGATGACCCGGCCCGCGCTGTGACTCTGCGGCTTGCTACCCCCGCGCTTGCCAGTGTACTTCAACATGGCTTCCCGCTTGGCATCACCATAGTAACGCAGAAACAGCGGCCGGTCCCGGCCTAAGTCCTTCTCTCGCTGCAGTTGCTCTTTCCTGTAAGGAGAACGAAAAATCTGAAAGGTTAGATAAAGGAAGAAACATTAGGCAAAAAAAAAAAAGTCTCCGGTTTCTGGTATGCGCGCACGTGGCCATAGCCATGCGCGTCGGCAAAAATGGAAAAGTTTTTTTTTCAATAAAAGATGATGTCTCAAACCGCCAAACTCACTGGTTTGACTGGAATCCTGCTGCTGCACAATTTTAACGTGTTTTTAGATGGGGTTGTGATCGAGAATAAGCTTTATGTGGCCTCTCTGGACTCCCATATATTTGCACGAAGTTTAGTCGGGCACCATTTGCAGTCATCAGCCGACATTTGAACCTAAAAAAAAACAGGTTTAAAAAAAAAAAAAAAGCCACGTCGCCGCACCACTTTTTGGGCAAGCTCCATACCAGAAACCGGAGACTTATATTTTTTGGCCTTAGTCACAATCCAGCAAAACCTCATTGTCAGTAAGCTAGTGCTGTGCGTCAGAACTGGGTATACCCGAGTACCCGACCGTTGATGTTCTAGGAACCAGTTCCAGATTATGTGATCGGGAACCTGAGTAACCAACTTTACAACTAACTTCGTAATTTCTCAGACAATGGAAAAGAAAGGTTTTGAATGTCATTTGTGGGAAATTTTAAAAATAAAAACCAGACTACCTGGGAAAACAAAACATATTTCACATTTGTGACGCTCCCGAAAGTTGCAGATTACAGTGTAATGAAGTACTGCTAAAAAACTACCAGACTAAAAGGAACCCCAGCCAAAAGAGAATTTTTTTTGTATTGACTGGTTCCAAATAGTCAACCACAATGCAGTCGAAAGAGTGTTAATTGACACACGTGTACATGTGGGTCAGTCAAATAAATTCATGAAATTTGGGGTCTCATTTTTTGTGTATTTTTTTAAGATTCTGTGAATTCAGGACACATTCTTCAATAATAATAATAATAATAATAACGGAGTCTTATATAGCGCACGTATCTACCAACAATTAGGTACTCAAGGCGCTGGAAATTATTTCAATTATTAAAGAAAGGTAAATAAAGTTTATGAGAAATATGAGACCCATTATGTAGTACCTTATAACATGTATAATGGTTTCCAACGTGCTGCGGGGCATATTGCAGCCACTGCCAGAAACACCGGGGCAAACCCCTTCTCTTAGCGATAAGTGTTACTGGGTTCTTTAACGTGCATTACACAACACACGGGACCTACGGCTTTACGTCCCATCCGAAGGACGAAGCAATAATGGTAAAGTGCCTTGCTCAAGAGCACAAGTGCCATGTTCCCACGGTCAGTATTCAAACCCATGTACCATGGCACACGAGTCGAACACCGTAACCATTGGACCACAGCACCCCATTAATGCCTTCTATCTCTGAGAGTGATAACCAAAGTACCTGTGCTGTCCTGCCCAACTAGTTTGAAGTCAATTTTAATGATACATGTACTTGTATGGTCAATTTCACGAGTCATGGTGTAAGAGAGACACAAAAATATCACACTTTTGGACCCTACATTTATGAACTAACCCACACTGTAAATCTATCTAAAATGTTGAAGGGATAAGGGGCTATACAAAACGTATGTTTTAAAGTGGTTCGTTATTACTATTAACCCTAACCGCCCTGAATCCTCCAAAATCCTTTTTGCAAATTGGAGGAATTTGCAGGATTGAGGTTACATTGCAAAAGTGCGTTGCTGATTTCGGAGTACACACTGTGTCAAGGTCTTGGGCCGGACCTTGTGTTGTTTATGCTCATGCAGCCGTGCATAAATTTAGTCCTTGATTATACTTGACATCCTCCACACTGCTCCAGGATGTCACTGCCTCTATCTGCCTCAGCCTATTGACAGTCATAGCCGGAGGATTTTGCAGGATTCAGGCAGTGATGATCACCCCTCCATGGACCATATTCAAGAAATAATGGAGGAATTTGCAGGATTGAGGCTATACAGTGTATGCTATTTTTCCATGAGGCCAATTGGAGGATTTTGCAGGATTGAGGATACATCCTAGCAAAAAGGCCTAGGGAGTTAGGGTTAAAGTTGGGCTTGCATAATTTACATTAAGGCCAGTCCATAACTTGATGCAAATGCGAAGCAAATTTGATGTCATGAAACATTTGCTGTGAAATTTGCCAGACGTGTTCAACTTTCGCGAATTTACAGCGAGAACATTCATGTGTTACATGTAGCTACATGGATACATACATGTACAATGGCTGTGACAGAAAACCAACATGGATAAAGTCAAATAATTGAATAGGTTTTCTATTTATGGAATTTACAACTACTGCACACTTTGTGCTGTTTTGTTATCTGATACTGACTCACACAACTCCCTATTTATGTGGCCTTTCTACATGTTTAATCAACAAGTTTCAAATTACCTTAATGAATAATACCGACTGTGCAACTGAATATGTGTACAACAGAAGCTGACAAGCCCTGTTATAAATGACCAGACACAGTCATTTCCAAACAGAGATAGTACGCTAGTCTTTTGTTAGCAACCCAGTTTTGACTATCATATTCCGATTAAGGTTCAAGTGTTCCCTTCAAACCTACAATAAAATGCAGACATATTTATATCAATAATTTACTTAGTAATAAATGATTAAAAAAGGTTTAGTATTTTCAAAACAGTTTGTTGAACTACTTCACATATGTTTGATCCATTTTTTTTTCAAAATTAATTCTGCTTTTATATTCATATGAGAAAGACATACCCGTATATCAAAACGACAAGTAGGCAAACACAATGACCTAAAGAAAAAAGGCCTATCGGAAAAAAGCAAGAGAACTTTTTCAGCTTTTACATGCTTAATGTACATGGTTTGTTTTACTGAAGACTTGAATTCTTTCTCCAAAGAACATGTGCCACTTATCCATAAAAAAGCAGATCTTTTAATCAAATTCATAACAGAATTTAAAGGGAGTTTTGTGTTCAAAAATGCTGGAAAAACCAAGAAAAACAAAAATGTTCAAGTAGTCTGATTCCCTGACTCCACTAAAGATGAAATGGATCAATTTATAGATGCCAGAAAAATGTAAGGTTAGGGAACCAGTCTAGCTGGCCTGCACCCGTGCATGAACATGTAACCAATAGCAAACACAATTTGGACTGAAAAAAATGGTAAATTTGGAGCAGTAGTTGAAAAAAGTTAGGTTTTTCCAACAGTGGTCAGCCGACCACCATTGGAAATTTATACAAAATACCACTTTTCTTCACACCTGGTGCCATAATTTTACAGGATGCTTTAGACTGTCATTTACCAACATCCTGGTATTTTGTAAAAATGTGGTAGTTTTGTTTTTCGATGTTTGCAAATGTTGTATATTCCCTTTAATGCAGCTGAGGTTAACATACACATGTACCGGTAAATGTCAACACTTTCATTCAAAATTGTACATTATAAATGTCTTTTCCAACTCTAACAAAACCTACATGTGTTTCAGCTACTAGGACACTCATAATTTTGAAGTGTACTTCAGTCAGACAATTGAAAAAAAAAGCATCTGATTACAAAGTAGTGTAACTAAGAGACAGAAGATTGTAACTAGGCAACAGTGTATGGCAACTAAGCAACAGCAAACATAAAAACAATGTCTGGTCGTACAGACGATATTAATTTCCGTCCACTCAATGAACCTCCATGCGGTGAAATCAAAGCACAAAGGGTTGGGAGTTTGTTACAGTTTATAGCATCACCAGTGCAGCTGCGTGGACAATAAATGATTAAACTTGACAAAAAGAGAGCTAATACACTGACATGTCTGATGAATTTTGATACACCATGTTAAAAACACAATGAACATTTAATAGTGCATTTCAATGTACATGATATTTCTGCAAATCCTGTACATGTAAAAAACAACAGTATTCGAAGCCAGCTGTCGAATCTGCCGACGATCAACATCATAAACTTTACACAAAGAGTTACTACATTGATGAATTTTGATACAATAAGTTACAAACATCAAAATGAACATTTAATATGTGCATTCAATGTATTTCTGCAAATCCCATCATCGCCATCAAAAACACCTGTCAATCACAAGACAATCACCCCCTAATTATCATCCAAAAACTCCCTGGATATGGAGCATCCTTTGCTAAGTCTGGGCTTGTATTATTACGTATGACTTTTTTCTCCGCAAAATGTACACAAAAAGTACATTTCTAACGTTAAATAGAATGAATCGTCTTATGAAATGAGCAGAGCCATTTTGGAAATATGTTGCACAATTGGTGTCATAAATGAAAATTGGACTCCTTTAAAAATGGGATTTCTTTACTCTCTTATTGGTCAAACCCTCTCACGTGACCAGTCCTTCTCCTAATTATCATACGTAGGCATGCGCAATACTACCAATGAGTCCGTATTTCACAGAGTAGTAAATTCACGCTGTTCACCTGTCAGTTAGCCTGGTCTAGTGCACGCAGAGCCGTGCGTCGCAATGCATTATGGGATCGAGAAAATCATCACAGCGCCACGTGCCGAATGCGCGCGATCCGAGTTGAGAATTCCTAGTGTGAACATGGTGAATACACTGGGACCCTAGCCGGATTGAACATTACATGGTTCAAGTAGCGGCCGGTTCGTGTAAAGTACAGTGTGAACGTTGCGTCTTTACGATCCGTGTCGGAAACAATTTGGGCTGAACCGGGTTGGATCCAGATTAGTTTCAACAGGCTTCAAATGGAGATGGTGTGAAAAGGCCTTAATAAGTTACATACCAGTACATACATGCACGGTATTATATACAAAGTCCAGTACTTACGCTAAAGCCATGGCCTGCTGCAACCTCTCCCGCGCCCATTCCAGAACGGTCCGCTGCTCAAACTCTTTCTCGGACTCCTCCTTCTCCAGGATCCAGCCCTTCTCCTCGCACACCTTGGAGGACATGGAGAAACTGAGGACCTGTAAGAAGTTGGGCTGGTGTACCGCTGTACCCAGAAGAAATCAAAGAAAACAGAGTTTGTGTCTTGGTTCTTTTTTGGTATCAGACTTTGGGTTTCAAGTGCATACAATGTACATTCACTCATGTACCGGGAGATATAGTAAAGACATACATTTTAAGAAGATTTCAAATTTGGTTTGGACAGCAAAGACTTTTTAACGATTTCCAAGCCAGAGATATGAAGCTGAGAATTAAAAGAAATCTCTGTCTGTATGAAGGTAAGGATGGCCGGTGCGCCAAAGTAAACATGTACAGCGCGTCCCAACATACCCGCAACATTTTTTCGCGAGGCTCTAGCATCGCCGCGGAAACACGTACCGCCATTATTTTTATATCATTTTAAAGCTTGGAATCTTAACTTTATCCCTGGTAAGTATTGGTTTGATTTTCAAAAGGGTTTTGAAATTATTCATGTTTAAATATAGGCATGTCAAAAACAAACTCAACCGATTTCAAGGAAAATCAATCATGCACATTTTTTCTAATGTGGAAATGCATCATCATGTGATCTCGTTGCCTTTTACTTTCTGCGTTTCTTTTTCTTTTCGATCCACGTAGACTACACCTTAATAAATTCACAATAATGTTCCTCGTTTCAAGTTCAATGTGCTTTTATTTAATATAGATAAACTGTTTTTTGGGGGTTATTTCAACAGATTGTTGACTCGAGTCTGCATCTGATGTACCGCATCATCGAGTTGAGCTTGTTTTCGAAATGCCTTTATTTGAACACGAATAATTTTAAAACTCTTTTAAATATCAAACCAATACTCGCCAGGGATAAAGTTAAAATTCAAAGCTTTAAAATGGTATAAAATAATGGCGGTACGTGTTTCCGCTTGACATATCGTAACTGACACCACGAAGTAACACTACACGTGTTAAAGCAATTTTTTTCTCCATTTTTCCATTTTCAGTTTTTTACATTTTTAAACATTATTTATCAAGGCCTACCATTGTACGAAGTTTCAAAGCTTCAAGAGCTTTACTTTAATAATTACGCCAATTATCCATGGCAACTTTTGCACAAAAGTGACAATTTTCGTTTTCACGAAGTAACACTCAAGTTCCATTTACCATTGCAATGCATGGTGCACACTCTGCTCAAATGTGAGCAAAAAGGTTTTCCTTGTATGAGCGCGCGCTTGCTGACCTGAAGTTGCACTTTTTTCGTGTTGTATACATTGAAGAGTGTTACTTCGTGAAAACAAAAATTTACAGTTTCGCAGCTTTTTCGGTTTCACAAACGAACACTCACCTTTTTTCTCTTATTTCTTGCTAATTTAATACACAAACGGGTGAAAAACAGCAGATTTAATCAATTCAATTCATCAAGTGTCCACAACGAGAAACCCAACTGAAAATACTCTGCCGTTTTGACCCAAAGTGTCGTTTTAGAAGGCGTTCAACTTCAGATGCCGTTTTCTCCGAATGCTAGTTTTTACTGGTATGGGTGTTACTTCGTGGTGTTACTGACGATTTATGTTCTGACTTATGGTGACTGGCTTTTGTTAAAAGTATAGCAAGGGAAGTGGAAGTGAATTTTGACTGTCTGTGACTGTTTGAATAGCAGGAGGGTTAATGGATTGCATACGTGTGTGATACACATTTTCTCAGTATTTTGTCTGTTTTTGAGGGGGAGATGGTGTGTTTAGGTCAGGGATGCGGGTGTTACTAATGTGATTTGTATACCTTCAGATTGTGCTTCTCCAATGACCGTGCCTGTATCTCCACCCATCTTCCCAGCGACTGATACCCGGTTGGAGGTGCTTGTAGATGCCCTCCGGTCCACTGTGAATAAAAGTACGTCAAATTCAAGGATTGAAAACTTGTTGGTATCACAGAAATTAAGCTACATGTACAACTATAAATTTCAAGGATCTTTTGAAATTACTTTGAAAATTACTTTTTTAATGATCTATTGACAGAAACACTGCTCAAAGTGAACATATTACGTACCAAATATCCAGTTGAGTTATTCTGTATGAAAATGGCATCATTTTGCAAGTAAACAGCACTGAAGGTGGTTTTGAAATAGGATGCTCACAGACACGAGACCAAAACATTGTGCACACATTTTTCTCTGTTTATCCAAAACCCACTGAGCTCAAACTTCAACAAGTTACAAATGTAATTGTTATAAATGCAGCCTGCTTCAAATTTTGAGCAATTTTGTTGCCTCAAACTTACAAAAATTGCACAAAAAGCAAATGATCGTGTGTACTATTAAAACTAGGAAGCATAGTTTCATGATGGAAACACATCTTTACTCAAACCCAAGGATGGAAAACTGGAAGCAACGTCGACTTGTACACTCAAAAAAAAGAATGCCCTCCCCTTCCAATACTTTTTTGTCTAACTCAAAAAATACTGAGCACCTCTTGCTCAAAATAACAACTAATCACTACGGAAATTCCTTAGCAATCCAGCCATACTCCTTATTTGGCCCAAAAGAGCGATAATGTGTACAAAATTATGCAATTTATGACAAATGATACTGAATACAGTTGCACTTTTGTATACATGTACGTGAAAGTTGTAGCTCACACTCACCTTCATGACCTTGCAAGTTTGCAAAAGTGCAACTTATTTTCGGTACCATTTGTCATAAATTGCATAATTTTTGTACACATTATCACTGTTTTGGGCCAAACAAAGAGTATGGCTGGATTGCTAAGGAATTTCTGTACTGATCAGTCATAATTTGAGCAAGATGTGCCCAGTAATTTTTGAGTTAGACAAAAAAGTATTAAGGGGGGAATTTGTTTTTTTGGTTGAGTGTATCTCACCTTTGCTTTTCTCCATCTTGGCTTTAATTCGTTGTGATGATGAGCCCATTGCAGCACTGCTGGCTCCCCCTTGCGCATCCCGGACGCTCCCCATGGTGCTCCCAATGGTGCTTTCCATCACTGACAGAGTCCCAGACTTCCCTTCCTCCTCACCCTCCTCGGCTTTCTTTTTCCGCGCCCGCTTCCTTGACTTCTCCCCCTCCCCCTCGTCCTGGTGCTGGTCCCCCTCCGACTGCTTCTTAGCCCCTCCCTCCCCGTCCCCCCTGGCATCCTCTCGGGGGACGTTCTCGGGGCACTGCCACTCGTATCGCGTGTACTGGACCTCGGTCATCAACTCCCGGTAGCCGCTCTGAAGGTAGTTGACGAGCTCCCGCGGGAGGTCCAACTGCTCGTTCTCAAAGAGGTACAGGATTTTGGCGAGCTGGACCAGGAGGGTGGGCGCTGCCACCACCGCCTCGTGGTACATCTGCCGCTGGGAGTACTCCCCCTCGTCGAGACTGTCCAGGCTTCCCCTCCGGCCGTGGCGCTTGAGGAAGCCATCCGCCCCTTTCCCGTCCTCGCCTCCCCCCTCCTCCCCGCCGCCTTCCCCCTCCTGGGCCTTCTTGTTCTTCTGCCGCTCCTGGCTGGACAGGAAGGCGGCCAGCCGGGGGTTGAGGTTGGCAAAGCGCAGACTGCGTGGTAGCTCATCCGGGTGTTTCCGCCGGCGCTTCTTGCGCTTCAGGATGATCTTCTGGTCAAAGAAGAAGACCTCGGGTGAGTAGGGGGACATCATCCTCACTCGGCACTGAGAACTTGGTGGTTCCGATTACAAACCTATGGGAGACATTAAATGTCATGTTTTATGTCGTTCTTAGTTTGCGACAAATTTTTCAACTTTGAGAAATGTATTGGGTCGTCTTGGTCGAATGCTCACTGCACAGCCAAATTATCACAACTGATTAAACTGCGATGATTGTACTCCTTGAATGATGGTGCTATATTATTTTCAAAATTTAACTATAAAACAAAAGAATTGACAAGCCTATAGATGAAGCAATGGAATGGGGGGAAAATAAAAATAACCAAAAGATAAACAGTAACTGGAAGCAAATCTTGGGAAGGAAATTACCATCTTATGCACATGGGGTTTATGGACTAGCAACGTTAGGCTATAACATGGACAACCGTGTACACTACCGGGTCCAGTTCCAGTACAAGGAAAAAAAATCCAAGTTCAATTTAATTGACTAGTAATAAGTTATAGATGGCAACATTAAGCATGTTAAGTCAAGAACATGCAGGTATGTCACAGATATATAATTTGGGGGTAGTTTGAGTACCGTAACTCTAGATCCAATATTTATCACGTTTGGAGTTGGACTTGGAGTTACTCAAGCTAATTTGGGGGTAAAATGACGATGACGACAAAACGCAATACCTGTACCGTTTATGCGCATGGCATGCTGAATTGGGAAAGAATGTTGCAACCTGACGCCACTTTTTTCCAAATATTGAGAATTATTTCCGATTTTGTGAGGAAATACTTTTAAAAATGTCTTGACTCTCCATAGACTTTGTACACAATCGCGGAAGTGGCGTCAGGTTGCAACACTTTTTTGCAGAATTGCACAGCACCAAGTACCGTAAATTTAAACCGCATACATGGCATATGAAAATCGTAATTTCTACCCCAAGAAACTGTTCAGAATTAATAAAAAGTATGTTGTTGTTTTTTTTGCCGATTAGAAGTTCAAATTGCAATGGGTCTGAATGCCATCTCCTGAATATGAAGACACAACGACAACTGCAGAATTATGCACTCGGACTCAGCAGTTGAACTTCGAAGACTTCACTTAGTAGGCCGGCCTAGGTAAAAATTTCTAATTCTCAAAATGGCAAAAAAACATTCACTGTTGCAATTCTTGTTGCAAATTTGCAATTGACCAAAACATGACACAGGTCTCAGGACCGACAATGACCGAGGCCCCTAGACCCGTGAACGTGGCTTGTAAACTACGCCACGTTCTTATGTCATTTCGAACCTGGCGAACGTGTCCCTCTGGCTCCCTCCATTACACACACTGGACGTTATTTTGCCCATGTAATAAGTACTCACATATGAAGCTGTCTTGAATTCTATTTGTACGTCAAAACTTGCATTTGACGAAAATTGAGGAAAATTCTGGCCCCGGTTCATGAAGTCCGTTCGCTACTATACTGCTAGCTGCCATTTTCTCCCAACTGACGCATGCGCATTGCGTTTTATTTTCGTATGATTCGACGGCTGTTTACTGTCGCAGCTAAAACAGACATCGTTTTAGACAAGTTTCAAGTCCTTTCCTCTCTCACCGCACCGCACGCGGTCGCACGTGCGCCAACGTGTGTGTGCACACACGTACTGTACACGAGATGAGCCGAGCAGCCAATCGTCTGCGGGTTTTTTTTTTCGGGGTTGCGACATGAAACAGCCGTCAATCTGTCCAAGCGACTCAGACGCGTCCGGGGTTATTTGTCAGGGTCAGGTTAAAATCTAAATTCTACACGTTAGTATGGGTCTTTACTAATGGGCAAATTTCGTCGAAATTACACAGCCGAAACAATCGGACGGGCAAATTTAGATTTCTAGGTGAGTACTCAACACCCATACGGAATTCTGTATGTCGGATCGATTTCGCCAGGTTCGAAATGAAACAAGAACGTGGCGTTGTATACAACGCCACGTTCACGGGTCTACGAGGCCCCAAGACATTTTTATACAAAATTACACACGACCGTTTTGTCATGTTTGTGTGTTGTTGGCTATGGCCCCATCAAAACTACACGAAAAAGAAATAAAAAAGTTTGTTACCTGTCCAAAATCATGAGCCTTTCTCGTCATCGTTTATTCGTTACATCGTCATGATCGTTGTTCGCCAAAAACGATGGCTTATTTACTCCCCCTTTTCAAAAGATTTTTTATCAAACTAACCCTATTTAACTTAACATGACCATGGAAGAATTGCATGACAAACACTTTCGCAGTTTCGGATTCCGTTCAGTCAATCAATTACGTTGGCCTCCATAATGCATGCATGCGCGAACGGTAGTACTGTACAGTACATGTACTACGGTTGATTGCACACACAGTGCAATGCAATGCAGTGCAAGTTGCCATGCAACTGACTCAATATTGAATTCTATTAAATATCACGTAGTTCGTATCACATGTGGCTTTGTTTATTTAGACAGCACACTCAGTGGTTTCGCAAATTCCACATGCATTTATTCTGGAACAATTTTAGATGGTTAACAGGGTAACGCTTGACCCATAAAAAAGCCGAAATTTGACTAAAATAATTCTTGTAGTATTAATTCTTCTGCACGATTAAATCAGTTTTCTGAGTGAATTTCATTTCAGCAGAGGGCGCTATACACAGTCAACAGTTGTTCCGAAAATGGTGCACACACGTACTTAAAGCATGGAGGAAGGACGCCGCTTCTGAAATTTTTAACAAAAAGGCAGATTGAATGTGTTTCAAAGATAATTTTTTCTACTTTTCGCTCTTTCTGCTACCGTGAATTTCATGTCGCGGAAAAAAAACGATGCTGTAGAGCTTCAATATCTAGAAAAAATATTGCGATCATCGACAGCGTCGTGAAATAAATTATTAAGTACGTCTTAGTTGTCCCTAGTTCGGGCCCAGGGGCGGCGAAACCGGGGGAACATCCACCCCCCCCCCCTAGATTTTCCCAAGTGCCCCTCCTGCGGACATAAATGTGCCCCCCCCCCCCCCTTGAGCATAAAATGTGCCGGCCCCCTCGAGATAAAAACAAAACTGGCTCTTAGTAAGGCCAAAAAAAAGTCTCCGGTTTCTGGTATGCGCGCGCGTCGCCGTAGCCATGCGTGTCGGCAAATGGAAAAGTTTTTTTTTTTTCATTGAAAGATGATGTCTCAAAACCGCCAAACTCACTGGTTTGACTTGAATCCCGCTGCTGCACAATTTTAACGTGTTTTTAGATTGGGTTATGGTCGAAAATAAGCTTTATGTGGCCTCTCTGGACTCCCATATATTTGCACTAAGTTTAGTCGGGCACCATTTGCAGTCATCAGCCGACATTTGAAGCAAAACAATTCAGGTAAAAAAAAAAAAAAAGCCGCGTCGCCGCACCACTTTTTGGGCAAGCTCCATACCGGAAACCCGGCGGAGACTTTTTTTTGGCCTAAAATTTCGGATAATTTGTTTTCCCAAAATGGTATAGCCTGAGAGTTATGCATGAGCGGGGAATATGAAAACCCGAGCCCTTAAACCTCTACAATGGGCCTTGAAAATGCGCACATTATAAATTTCAACCAGAAATACGTCAAGCACCAAGCATTGGAATTTTCAAGTCAGAATTTCTGTCTCTTAACATAGATGCCATCACTCGGACCTATGAGGCCCACTTTGTTGGGGAATGGATAGGTCGATACACAAGTTGGATGAGGACTGTGTTAAGGCCAAAAAAAAAAAATAAGTCGGTCTCTGGTCAGCGCGCGCGTCGATTTTAATCATGCGCGTCAATCTTTTTTTTCCAAAATGTTCCGCGGTAGCTCCAACAGCGCCCTCTATTGTTGCACCTCCTCAATTTTTTCTACCAAAGAGCACCAAGGAATGGGAAATTGCACCAAGTCAAATGATCGAGAGCACCAAGGCAAATTATGGAGGACACCAATGTACATGAGGACACCAAAAAAGCAAAATAGTACCCCACCTTGTCTGTACAATCCAAGCTTGAAGAAAAGAAAAAAAGTAAAAAAAAAAAAAAAAAAAAAGCCGCGTCGCCGCGTCAATTCCGGAACTTTGGTCTGACCAGAGACCGATTTTTATTTTTTTTTGGCCTAACCGTGACTGTTTATTCCAGAACAATATTTTAATACACATTGATTGATTGAATTGGTTACAGTGAACTGAGACAAAGAGAACTGGGTGAACTGAAATAGACTAGAATAGAAATGGAACCGAATTGGAATTGAAACAGAATGAAACAGAATGAGATACTGCTGGTGGAGCAGCACTTATATACTGGTGGAAACAGGAAGTCTTGGGAATAAGAAATACTTAAGAATGGGGAAACTTAGTCATATCGTGGTTTCCTTGAGTCTCAGAAAAATGACGAGGAATGAGTCATATAGTTCCTTAAAACAATGATCTTAAAAGTAGCTTGGTTTAGTGACCAAAGACTTGTGTGTGGGCAGTGAAGGTCATTTGCTCTGTATAAAAGTATAGGGACTACACATTGCATAGGTACTGTGTGGGTGTATGTGTAACAAGGAAAACAATGAGTATTGAATTCAAGAGAATTAATCATTAAAAGTTCAAAAGGAACATTGATAATTAAAGTGTGATAATTAACTAAAAATTTAGACGATTTGAGAATTGAGAATAATCTGAAAACGCTACAACTTCATGTAAATATCTGCTCGGTCACCATGGCGTTTGCATATTACATCCCTGCTGATGAGATTATGCATGCAGTATATTCCACCAGATACAGAACCAGAATAAAATGGCCGGTTTCCAAGAGCGCTCCAATTTTTGTAAACTTGGTACCAGCCAAGCCCCCCCCCCCGCCCCCCCCCCCACCCCCATTTGATTTTACGGAGGCCAAGTGTCCGGTGAAAAAAAAATGTCGACATCAAGTTCAGCACGGATGTGCCCCATCCCCCTCCCCCAAGAAAGCTGGATACGCTGCTACACCAACAGAAGATGCCTTTTATTGAGCAAGTGCCCCGGTGATGCGACTGTAACCGGTCAGTCCAAAAATTCAACCCCCAAAAGTGGGTGCAGTACATTTTGTTTTCGTCCTTCACATATTTATTTAAACAGGCAATTGTTTTCAACTCAAGTTGATCAGTATGAAACTGTGCCACCCCTCTAAGTAAGTCTCGTGACCAAAATGTAATCGCCCATCGGGATTACGTCATTAGCATTCTATCCGATTCTCATTTCTAACCCAGGCTTGTGCTGAATGCACATTATGCAAATAACGTGTTTTAGAAGATTTCCACTCAGACTCCAGCCCTATTGTTACATTCATGCCTCGCTGATCACCATGGTACAGCGACCTAGCGTGCACGGGCTTTATCTTAAGCTGTTGTTTCGGTGCTGGGCTAGGCCTTCATTACTGTCGTTGTGCTCCTCACGCTCACTGCATGCAACTCATTACATTGTTCAAAATTATCATTTTGGCTGTGTTTATTCTAATTGAACGTGAACATTGTGTCCAATTTATATTGTATTAACAAAGACATCGTTACCATTTACTCCGATCAGCACCAAGAGGGGCAATGTCTTCAAGAGTAGAAAGAGGTACGTTACATGTCTCTGATTAATGTACATGTGTATAAGGTTCTCCTACAAAATCCAGGGCCACTTTAAGTAAGTGTAAGGCCTTTATTTGTGTATAAAGTATAACTTGGGGATAAGCAATAATAAGTGATTAGATAGGGATTCGTCTCACGCGTGCAGTGACATTGTGTTCGCACGTATAACATAACATTTGCATAGGAAATCGACAAGATACGTGCAGTGACATTGCGTTCGCACGGAAAATATAAATTTGAATAATATTTCGTCCTACACGTGCAGTGACATTGCGTTCGCACGTTTATAAGTTGCATAGAAATTCGACATAGCAGACGCGTGCAGTGACGTTGCACTCGCACGTTCGTAAATAAAATGGGGCGTTGCTATAGGCTCTGTTAATCCGAGGCAGTTTAGATATAAAGTTTGAGACTGCAAAAAAGAAGCCACTGGCCGGCCAGGAACTGTTTTCTGGCTGAGCGTATAAATTACTTCATTTCAAGGCAGTAAAATGCTTTAAAAACATTTTTTAAGAAGCTCTGGTGAAAGTAGAGAGTTTTGTCACCTGAAACAGAGAACTCCTTAAATTTTATTGGATGTTAAAAAAAAAAGTTTACATGGAAGATAAATTACAGCACAATTAAGGTTGAACGAAAATGATTATTTTATTCAATAATAATGCAATGCCAATATGAATTTCACGTGCAGTGACATTGTGTTCCCACGTGTGTTAATTTGCATATAGGAATTTATAAAATACGTGCAGCGACATTGCGTTCGCACGTTGAGTATAACATTTGCATAGAAATTCGTCTGAAATGTGCAGTGACATTGTGTTCGCACTTGGGGAGAAAATACAATTTCGAAAGAATTCGTCAGACAGGTGCAGTGACATTGTGTTCGCACGTGGAACAGTGGAAGGGTAGCATTCCAGTGGAAGTTTTTTTTTCTTCAAATTGTTGTCCCTGAATAATTAAACTCGCCAATTTACACCAGTATTTTCAATGATAAAACTGTGACAGTGTCTACTTCATTGTCACATTGACTTGCAGGTCTTATGTAACCCCCTTTCTGGAGAAGGTTAAAAGACGGTCTCCACCTCAGTCTCAGAAACTAAAAAAATAAATTGAAACTATATAAACCTAATCAACATTCTGGGCAAAACGTTGGTGCAAGTGATGCAAACAATCAATTAGGTTTTTTTTGTATGTCAAGTTGGGAGGAGTGCAGACGTTGCAAGCGTGCATTATGCAGCATCCGCAAAGCAGCTGCTGGATCTGTAGGAGTGTTAGGATAATGTTATAGGCATTTAAATTCGGCAAAATATTCTCATACGCGATTAGAAACCTCCGCACCGCGTTCTATCGCTTTTCCGTTCGACAATAAGGCATATTCATACGTAATGTTCGGCAAACTCGTGGTTTTTTTTTGGCTAGACCGGAGATGCGGTTTGGTACGAAGACCATGAAGGGACATGGGAGTTATTTGGGGTTTTTTTCCCATAATACTATTACGTTCGTGTTATTGTCACGTACGTACGTAACTCACGCACGTACTTGAATATTATCACTACGTAGGTAATATTATCACGTAGGGCCCACGTGATAATTATTACGTACGTAGGGCCCACGTGATAATTATTAAGTACGTATACACAACGTATACTCGTTTAAGGATACACGTATTATCATTATGCAATACATGTACGTACGTAATATGTACTTATTTATCAGGTATGTACGCAATAATAATACTAATATTACGTTAGTAGGTAATAT